GAACATCGGAGTGCACAGATAATTAACCACGCGCATCAACGATTGTCACCGGCAGGCAGCTTTTTCGAGCATTTTGATAGGAGAATGCACCGACACGTAAAGAAGTTTGTTGTGGCAATTTTTTATCTAACTAGCACGTGAATGATACAAAAGTTTCCAATCCGCAGCTTCCTACTTTCTCGGCTTTTAATCGCAGTTTGTATTTAGACGTACTATTGTAAGTCAGAAAGCAGTAGGGTATGAAAGAAAATTTCTAGTTATTCATCATCCCTGCCTGGCAAACTAAAGTAGACGTACAGGTTGTGTAACGCGCTTCGTCCCGAAATTCTAGGCAAACCTGAATTTGGCCTAGAATCGCAGTTAGAATACGACTTTGAAGACAAAATTTAGGCCACTTGCAACCATTACCTGATGGAATTAAACCGTCAACATCTGAAGCGTGTAAATTCATTCGTTTCGATTTATAAATTGAAATAGAATTTGTGGAAAGCCGTGGTCCCATGATAAAGATACCTAGATTTTAATTTTCTAGCGCCTTACATTATGGTTTGTTCTTGGAATACTAGTTATTATGGCTTCTGTGATTTTAAATCTGAGTTATGCAACAATCAGACGAACAAGTGCCCAAACGCTAGGCAAGCTTAAATTTGACTTAGAATCGCAGTTAGTATTTCTACGTAAGCCACATGTGCATAAATGGGTAAAAAATGTTATTTTCAGCAAATTTCTCGTTGTAATTTACGAGTGAATACGTTTTTTTGCGAAATTTTCAAATTTTTAGAAGTTGCGCTGGCTTTTAGATAACCACGATTAGCTTTGGCACATTTGGTAAAGCCGTAATTTCATTCTCAAAAAGCAGTTGAAGGAATGAGTGCTGACAAACAGATATGTGAGCAAAAATCTGAGCCAGTTTTAGGCAGTTATAGTGACGACGAAACAAAAGCTGAGTTCTTACAGATGATGTAGTCGCTCCAGATAAAACAATTAATGAGCGCAGAAAAGTCATCCATAAATAGACAGCATGTGCGAGATAAAGTAGTTGATGTGACAAGGAAGAGACTTTGCTTACTGAATGCGCACTTGTAGACACTGCCCAAAAACGATTTGAGGTGAGGATATTTGGGGTTTGGCCGATATTTCGAAGCGCTATTATGTGATTTGTATAAGACTTCCAGGTAATTAAAATGGCATCACATTGCCCTTGAATGCCCCCTCCCGCACCTCCTATTATGTGCAAGCATTCAGGACATCTCGACACCGCCCTTTTAATACCAGCACCAACAGCAGTTTCTCTTTGTTGCTTCTAACTGTGCTTTTCCCTCAAAAGAAAAATGCAGAGAAACCCTCACATTCATATCCTAAAAGGTCGACGAAATGTTGTAACAATTTTAGCAGATTATGCGTCACGCAGGACATATCAATATTTGTTACAGATTTTTCTTACAGAACGAGTTTAGAAAATCTGGAGCAGCTCGCCATAAATATTTATCAGTTGGAAACTTTCCTTTCCAAAATTAACTAAAGCGAATGGGAAACCTTGCTGCTAATATTTCAAAAGAGTGGCTTGCAATGAAAAAATCTCCGTGTAAAATTTTTTTTAATATTTTTGGCTACTGGCTTCTTTATGAAACACACACAAACTAGCGATGATTGAGCGGATGAACGAAATTCGTCGTGATCGCCAGTTTTTTAGTTTGCAGTACAATTTATGAAAACAGCAGGCTTCACGAAATGGAGTTCACTTCCAGTTTACAAAGACGCAACGTAATATAAAGGGGTGAGTGACAGCAAAAATTTACTTTGAAGACTAGCAAATATGGTCTCTGCTGAATTGACTGTTCGAGTGATGATAATGAGGAAAGTGAGTATTCTGGCATGCTTTTCAATCAGGACGAATGTATAATACAAATTAGCGGTGAAGGGGAGGTGACTTTTCAAAACAAAATTCGTTTGCCGTGGGCGTTTGTTTGAGCGGAGAGGCGAAAAACCCGCGCATCGTTGTAGCACTGGTTGAAGCAGGAAACACATAAGTTTCAGCTGCTACCCCATGCCGCTGCGATCGCCCATCATCGTGACCGTCGTCTTCTTTCTGTTATCACTATCAGTGATATGCGCTCA